ATGAGATAGTTCACCCCAACATGAGAATTTACTCACTAATTACTTGCCCTCAAGTGTTTCAAAACCTTTATGAGTTTCATTCTTCTGTTTTTTTTAAAAAAGCTGAAAACCTGTAACCTTTGACTTTCATAGTAAGAAAAACAGTGGACAATGATTACAGGCTTCCAATATTTTTCAAAATATCTGCTTTTGTGTTCAACAATCATAAAGGTAGAGTAAATGATACCAGAATTTTTAGTTTTGGGTGAACTACCACTTTAAATTTCTGCCAAACATCCACTATTTCGTTAAAAAATAAATAAATAAATAAATAAATTGTATTTGTATCTATTTTGTAATCTAAATTAGCACTGTGCCTTCAAATAAATTATTACTTAGCATGTTACTGTGAACTTGTGGATCAGTACACCTCCTCTAAACATCAACAGGAACACTAAACCTATCTAATTTCACAGATGAGATAACTTACTTTATATTACTGTCTGGAAACATAGTTAGCACATTACCATTAAACGTCTGCCGGCCTGGGGCGATTCTACGAACAGAGAAGACAGATAAATGTTTCAGAGGATTCTCTGTGGGACTTCTTCAAGCGCACGCAGAAAGACTCTCTCTAATATGAAAAGGAGATTTTAATATACTTTAAAGACACCCTCTGCAGCAAATAGAAATTGTAGTTTTGTCTCATTATTGCAGGCTAGGATTGGTGTGCTTGGGGGCAAGATGGATCACCAGTGGGCTTATTACCATTATTAGCACATTTAGTGCCAGTCCCTGTTGCCAACCTTGCTGATTGTAGGAAAACATCTCTCTAATAACCTTAACGAGTATAATGCCCCGGGATGCGCCGTGTCCTCCTTAGAGAGAGGGTGTAATGTGCTCGGGGCCACACATCCGCTATCCGTCCAAAGTCACCCGCCGCACAGCTCCCGCTGCCTCTCTGGCTGGGGTTTCTTTGCTGTGGGGCAGTAATCTCCTGTCTGCTCCACTTTACCATACGACAAGAATTACACCCACGAGGAACTGAGCCACAGATTCTTCAGATGGATGGAGCGTAAAATTGATAAGAATATTAAATTTGCCATAGACAATGCTATAACCTGCTGTAACATCAACCGAAAAGATGGACAAGAATGTGGGATGATAACAGTTTTAGTTTTTGTTGTTGTATGGAATTTGTGGTGCATGAAGGATATAGGCTTACATGTAGTTATCTATATACAGTTGAAGTCAGAATTCTTAGCCCCCTGAATTATTAGCCCTCCTGTATATTTTTTTTGCCATTCTGTGTAATGAAGAAAAGATTTTTTGAAACACATTTCTAAACATAATAGTTTTAATAACTCATAATAACTGATTTATTTTATCTTTGCCATGATGACAGTACATAATATTTTACTAGGTATTTTTAAGATACTAGTAGTATTCAGCTTAGATTGACATTTAAAGGCTTAAAAAGGTTAATTAGGTTAACTAGAAAGGTTAAGGTAATTAGGCAAGTTATTTTATAACAATGGTTTGTTCTGTAGACTATTGGGAAAAAATAGCTTAAAGTGGCTAATAATTTTTACCTTAAAATAAAATAAAAAAAATTAAAAACTACTTTAATTCTACCCGAAATAAAACAAATAAGACTTTTTCCAGGAGAAAAAAAATATTACCAGACATACTGTGAAAATTTCCTTGCTCTGTTAAACATTATTTGAGAAATATTTGAAAATGAAAAAAATCACAAGAGGGCAAAAAGAAAAATTAATTAAAAAAAAAAAAAAAAAAAAAAAAAAAAAAAAAAAAAATATATATATATATATATATATATATATATATATATATATATATATATATATATATATATATATATATATATATATATATATATATATATATATATATATATATATATATATATATATATATATATATATATATATATATATATATATATATATATATATATATATATATATACAGTTTCAACTCTGATGTTTGAGAAAATATAAGGGGTCACTAACTTTATTCCTCTTGTGTTTTTAATTTACATTTTTGAAAAACAGCAATAATAAAAATATAGCATGAGAGTAATTTATCTTTACTTATCTTCTTAATACAGTGCTATTTATTTTAAAAATAAATTATGGATAATAAGATGACTAAATGATTTACATGATAAAATGATAAATAATTGGCATGAGGTATTTATGAATGATTTTACCATTTTCTTTTCAATTTATATGTGTAGTTATTTATTGAACTATGCTTGAAACTGTCACACCATAAAATGTTTTTGAGATTTGGCAAATATGTTTAAAAGTTACAGGCTAACACAGTAGTTGTTATAACAGGAGGTCAATGGAAGACAATGAAATGTTTTACTATTTACTATTTTTAATGATGACAATAATGTTATATTCAGATTTGTCATGTGTGACAGAGAAAATGCAAAATCATGTCAACAACCCATATATATTGGTAAAACCATTTGGCTTCTTAGAATGTTCATTTTTGGTTCTCAGAACGTTTCCAGAATGTTTTCAGAGAGTTTTTTTCTTTCTTTTTTTTGTGCATGTTAGGGTAACATTCCTGGAATGTTCTTATTTGGTTACCAAAAAATAACAAAATGGGAACCAAACATAGGAACCATATTGGAACATTAAAGGAACATTCTTTGCTGAGGTCTTACCTCATTGTGTGTGCAAATTTGAAAAGAAGTCAAACATTTTGTGTATGTTTTGATTATAAATTTAAGTTGGTATTGATGTGGCATGTAACATATTGTAACATACACATGCCCTTCCAGCCATAACCCATCACTCGGAAACACCCCGACACACTCACACACACACACGTACACTACGGTCAATTTTAGTATACCCAATTCACCTATACCACATGTCTTTGGACTTGTGGGGGAAACCGAAGGAACCTGGAGGAAACACACATGAACACGGGGAGAACATGCAAACTCCACACAGAAATGCCAACTGACCCAGCCAAGGCTCGAACCAGCGACCCTCTTGCTGTGAGGTAAAAGTTAGGCTTACAGATTGCACAATGTAATGTTATGACGCAGTATCTGAATTTGAACTAAAGTGCATGTATAATGTGCTTATTCAATTAAAAAGCACTGACAGTCCAGATTACTTATGAAATGTAGTCTGTTAGTTTTCTGCCAAGGAAAGTATAGTAAAAGTTTGTTTTTACGATATATTTACAACAAAATATACAGCATTGTTTTGATAAATGTTAAAGTAAAAGTATAAAAAAAACATTTTATTTATTTATTTATTTATTTATTTATTTATTCATTCATTTAATAGCATCACAGTTAGGACATACAATGTGCATAATTTCATTCAAATTTTTCTGCATTTTAATAATATTTTCTCACCCCTTGTACATTTTAAATCGTGAGGTTGGTGTGATGAATTGTTTCAGAGTAAAACTCAATTATATGAGTTCATAAAAACTGCATGTATAACAATTATGGAAGAATTGGGGAAAAATCATAATTTCCAATGAATTATAGCATATTACACCTCAGGACATTGCTGAAAAGTTACAGATAATCAGCTTTGTGCAGGCGAGTAAACTGAGGAGTAGAGCACTGCCCTCTAAAGGACGTCAGAAGAACTGTGACACACACTCAATCTCGTTGCCGGTGACGTCACGCCCAGCATGGGATCATGTGCTGGAAAGTCAGTTGTGCTGCTGACAAACAACGAAATCGGGACCTTTGAGTGGATCGATAGTCTGTCAGGCTCTGACAATTAAGCGGAGAAACTAGTTTTTGTTTTAAATAAGTTGAATAACCAGGTCTACTTTAAGTCGTCATGGCGTCTCTGTTTAAAAAGAAGACTGTCGACGGTAAGACACTTTGTTAATTGTTTAAATATAGTTTTTGATGGTTTTAGATGCTGCACCTGTTTGCCTGCTGCATCTTCTGCAACATTATCAGCGTTTACAACAGTTTTGTGTACGTAGTGTAGTAGATGTGAAGTATTTATTACGTTAAGTGTTTATCAATACATTCGCTGTTTACAGTAATTTAACAGTGCATTAATGTTACTTATAATAAGTGTTTAATTTACATTTAAGCGAGAGTTTGATTTATATCTGTCTGTCAGGGAACTATGTTATGTATCATAGTGTACATCAAACTTGCGTGTAATGTGATAAAAAGTGATAAACTACTTTATTTTTTTGTTAAAATTGACAAAGCTAATCTGCCTCACATTAGGATTAATTAAGGTTAGATCATATTGGTCACATATATTTTGCTGCTTTATACTTTATTTATTTGTTTAATATATGTTTTGTTTTTTCCATAGGTTTGCAGCTTTTTATGTTTGTTATTGTTCTGTGTTATAAGTGTTTAATGCTTGGTTAGTTGGATAGTTTAGCTGCCCTTCATGACTTAACTAATTATTTATCCAGTTCAACAAATGATCAGTAGAAACCCTCATTCGTCATTCATGCCTATTACTTATACATAGATTTTAACAGTTCTTTCTTTCTTTCTTTCTTTCTTTCTTTCTTTCTTTCTTTCTTTCTTTCTTTCTCTAGTGATTTGATTTTGCATTTTCACCATCAACATTTGCTTAAAATATTATAACTATTATAAATTTTTTGTTGTTTTCTGAATCCTGAAGAGACGATTTCTATACACACACACACACACACACACACACACACACACACACACACACAAATATGTTTGCAGTTTATTCAAACCACTTATTTAAAATAAGCTAAAACGATACAGTTCTTGGTCATTTTTGGGACCACCTAATAGTTTTATGTTCGATCTACTTCAATTTGTAAAAGCTATTAAGTCAACTTAAGTCATTCATGCTGTCCCAACACAAATCAATTGTGTGTAACCCAGCATTTTTTACAGTTGCTGTTAATGATTTATAAATGATTTGTGATTATCAGTCAAGCAAGAGAGAAGCATGTAAACTCAGAATATATCATTTGAATTAATCATAGTTTTGACTTACGTTGTGAAATTTTTGCCGTGGTCAAGTTGAATAATTTTCATCATTTTCCAGTCTTTGTCCTCCTGACCTTGGTGCCAAGGTGAGCCGAGAGTCATGGTGCCAGTATATCCTCTCAGATGGCAGAGCTGATGGAGCTCGCTGAGTTTTGTGGACGATCACCCTCCCTCAATAATACGTTTACAATACGTCATCTTTTACGTACACTTGTACGTGTACACAAACTCTCTAGGTTTAGGCATGCGCACTTAACAAACTTATATGGATAAGCATGAACAATTTTTTTCATAAACTTTATGAGTTTCCTTAGACTTTTTTATTTTATACAGTTTTTAAAAAGTTTTTGTTCTATTTGTTAGATATGTGTTCTTTTTAAATTTATACTTTAGATTTTTTTATTATAATATTCTATTAATAGAAGATTTTTTATTATATATATATATATATATATATATATATATATATATATATATATATATATATAGTCTAATATTCTTATTTTTGTTGTATTTCATTTCATTTAATGCTTTCTAATAACTTTTTCTCCATCTTTAAAATATTTATATATATATATATATATATATATATATATATATATATATATATATATATATATTTCAAATAATTTGCAGATTTGACTTTAAATTTATATTTATCTTTAAAAACTTTTTTTCAAATATTGTTTTTTATTTGTTCACTTTTACCTTGTCTTTTCCCTTATAATATAAAACGTCACATCTTTTAAAAAAATGTTATTTAACTACTATATATTATACATATTCATAATATTATTTAACTACATTAACTTGGTATCTTATTTTAAATGCATTTTTCTTTTTCTTTTATGCTTTTTTATTTTGCTATTTCATTTTGTTTAATGCTTTGTAATAACTTTTTGAGTGTTTTTCTTAAACTTTTTTCATATTTTTTTCCCACATAATTTGTTGATTTTTATTTCTTTTGACTTAAACGATTCTACAGATTTTAAATCTCAATTTAAAAAAAACCTATTTCACTTAATACATTTTTAATAAAAATGTTTTACTTTTACCTTGTTTTCGCTTCTGATATAAAATATCGTACTCTTTAAAAAATAAAGTTAAAATCAACAATTACCCCACAAACCGACTTAGTTTATTTATTTTATTAATTTAAAATCTTATTTTATTTATTATTATTTTTTTTTCACTGTTAACTCTTTTTCTCCTTAAACATATTGTGGGGCTTCTAATATTGACCATTTCATCTCATGGGATGTTTTCATGATTGGCATTCATGAGGGCACACGGTGAGCTGATTGCTGCTGTGTAAGAGTGTGTGTTTTCCCTAAAGGCGATGTACAGCACACTCTGGCATCTTAGAGATGGAAATATGAAGATGAACATAAGGCTCACTTTCCTGTTTCACTTTGGCTCATAAAATCCTGTTCCATTTTCAGAAATATTCTCAGATCTCATTAAATCAGTCAAATAATTCCAAATATCTTTTTAAAGGAAAATGTTGGATTCCTTTATTTCAAGTGTTTGTGTGTGTGTGTGTGTGTGTACCTGTCTGTATAATGCAGCAAAAGCAATGTTTAAATTTTTGTAATCTTTTTCTTAGATTCTTCTTGTAATCTCTGTCTGTCTGTCTGTCTGTCTATCTGTCTGTCTGTCTGTCTGTCTGTGTGTCTGTCTGTGTCTGTCTGTCTGTCTGTCTGTCTGTCTGTGTGTCTGTCTGTCTGTCTCTCTGTGTCTGTCTGTCTGTCATCTAATACAACCTAAAATACTAAGCTGAAACATGGGTAACTTATTTAATAAATATATTTTTAAATATAAAGTGTGTCTATCCCTCTATGCAATAATAAAAACATTTTATTTAAATTTAAAATAGCTCTTTAGATGGATGGATGAATGGATGGATGGATGAATGGATTAAAAAATTATTTAAATGTAATTTTATTGTTTAATTCGGGGGTGTCCAAACTCGGTCCTGGAGGACCAGTTCCAACTTGCTTCAACACACCTGCCAGGAAGTTTCTAGTATACCTAGTAAAGCTGCGGTCACACTAGAGTTTGTGTGTGAGAAATTCTGCCATACGGCGCTACGAAAAGGGGTGGGATCAAACCAGATTATTAGACATTAAAAAAGCAAGCGATTGCTCCGTGTTTTAAATTTCTGTCCAGAGAGGTCATGTTTTTATCCTCGGTTGGTCTCACGCAGTCAAGTGATGCGATTTCGCAGGTCAGATAATAAATGAATATAATGATTGTTATTTATTTGAAAATAGAAATGTCTTTTGAATGCATAAATTTTTTTTAAACTCTTATTTTGAACTTTGTGTATAATGTGTGTTAATAAATGTCCTGCCAGACGTTTTGTGTTGTCAGGGATATACTAAATCACTTTAACATCTTTTTGTGGGTGAATAAGACAAGGGAAAGAAGAAGACACACACAAAAAAAATCTGTTTCAGATCAGTGAACTGTATGAGGATTTTCCAGACGGTTTTTATTGCATTTTTTTCCCTGCCCCGTCCTGTCACAGATATCATTAAAGAGCAGTCCAAGGAGCTGAGAGGCACCCAGAGACAAATCACCAGAGACAGAGCTGCCCTGGAGAGACAGGAGAGGCAAATGGTAAGTGGAACAAAGCACTTTCATATCTTTTGAGTTCAACTCCCCATGTCCACCTCTTCCCTTCCAGCATCATGTGTCATTGTGAGGTAGTCCAGCTTTCATTTCATTCTATTACATCAAAGAATTTAAGTTTTCATCTTACTATTAGTTGCATTAGAAACCGGTAGACTCTGTGGCCTTCATCGCTTTAAGATAAAAAGTTTCCATCTCTTAATACCCAAGAGGATGATTTGAGTGTTCTTGTTAGCTACTTTTAAAGCTCGGAAGAATACAGCGTGCTCGCTAACTCTCTCCATTTAAGCTAATTGTTTCTATGTAAACATAGAAATGTGCATAATTGCCTCCCGAGAGGGGTTCTTTTTTATTCATCTTTATTGTAATTAAACATGGTTTTGCTTTGTTGTCAATCCCTCTCTTTTTTTTCAAATGACCCATATTGAAAGATAGCTGCAGGGCGGTCACGTTCTGCTGCTGCTGCTGCTTTAATATCCCACTTACTGTACAACAGGGGCTAGAAGTCGGAGAACACATTAAAAAGATGAGGGTCTCTCATTTAAACCCAGAAATTTAAAGACAGTTTTAGATAGTAAATTATTTTTAATATATATATATATATATATATATATATATACAGTTGAAGACAAAATTATTAGCCCCCTATAAAATATTTCATTATTTTTCAAATAACTCCCAAGTGCTTTTTAATGGATTAAAGATTTTTTCAACACATAATTTTTAAACATAACAGTTTAATCAGGAAGCTTTGAGTGTTTGTAATACAAACAGAAACACAATTATAATCAAAAATAAAAAAAGCTTGGAGGTCAAAATTATTAGCCCTCTGATGTTAATAGTCAATAGTGTAACCCTTTTGCTTGATAACAGCCATCAGTCGTTTATTGTAGCTCTCAACAAGTTTCAAGCATGTCTCCTGAGGAGTGTTAGCCCATTCTTCCTTAGCAAATCTCTCCAGCTCTTCCAGATTTGTTGGTCTTCTGGCATAAACTCTAGACTTCAGTGTCCCCCACAGATTTTCTATTGGATTCAAGTCTGGGCTTTGTGCAGGCCAGTCAAGGACTTTCACTTTGTTCTGTTGAAGGTAGTTCTTTACCAGAAGTGAGGTATGCTTTGGGTCATTATCATGCTGGAATACAAAACGTCGACCCAAACCAAGTTTTGTTGCAGACTGTTTGAGGTTATTTTTCAAAATCTTCTGGTAGTCTTCCTTTTTCATGTTTCCTTCAACCCTGATAAGATTCCCAGTTTCACATGCACTGAAACATCCCCATAGCATTATACTCCCACCGCCATGTTTCACTGTGGGAACGCTGTTCTTTGGATTAAATGCCTCTCCCTTCTTCCTCCAAACATAGGCAACATCTCTATGGCCAAAGAGCTCTAGTTTTGTCTCATCTGACCAAAGGATACGTTTCCAGTATTCAGTATTTTTCTCTAGATTGCCCCTGGCAAACTTCAGTCTAGCTTGGAGGTGTCTCTTTTTTAAAAGAGGAGTCTTTCTTGGTCGACAACCTTTCAGTTCACTCCTGTGCAGGGCTCTAGTGACCGTCTTTGCTGAGACATTAATTCCAGACTTGGCTAAGTCATTCACTAGTGTCTTGGCAGTTGTTCTTGGGTCTTTAGAAACCTCTCTTACTAATTTTCTTTCCAAAGTTTTGGAAATCTTTCGCTTTCTACCTCTGCCAGTCATGTTCTCCACAGTGTGGATCTCATTAAACTTCTTGATAATATTTCTCACGGCACTTCTTGACACTTGAAAACGCTTTGATAAACATGTATATCCTTCTCATTCTTTGTGAGCCTCAACAATTCTTTTTCTCAAGTCTAAACTTATTTCTTTTGTCTTTGTCATGATGACAGAATGCATTATCGTACTATTTGTTTTTCAAGACACCAGGTTTAAGCTTTAAGTGCAATTTAAAGGCTTAATTAGGTTAATTACCTTAACTAGGCAAGTTAGTGTAATTAGGCAAGTCATTGGACAACAGTAGTTTTTTCCTGGAGCCAATCAAACAAATAATTACTTAAGAGGGCTAATAATATTGACCTTAGCAGTTTTTACTTTAAAAAATATATAAATAATGATTTCACCCAAAATAAAAGAAAAAAAACCTTTTCCAGAAGAAAAATACAAAAAGAAATGCTGTGAAAACAATTTTCTTGCTCTGTTCAACAGCACTTGTGAAATATTTGTAAAAGAATACAAATTTCATAGGAGGGCTAATAATTTTGACTTCAACTGTATATATATATATATATATATATATATATATATATATATATATATATATATATATATATATATATATATATATATAAAAAAATATAAAAATGGGCAAAGCAGTGGCGCAGTAGGTAGTGCTGTCGCCTCACAGCAAGAAGGTCATTGGTTCGAGCCTCGGCTCAGTTGGCATTTCTGTGTGGAGTTTGCATGTTCTCCCTGCATTTGCGTGGGTATCCTCTGGGTTCTCCGGTTTCCCCCACAGTCCAAAGACATGAGCTACAGGTGAATTGGGTAGGCTAAATTG